AGACTCCATCTCCCTGGAGGAGGGAGTAAAAGTGACTGGGTCTTATGTGCCCTGAGAACCATCACTACCCCTTAGACATAAATCCACAATATTTATAGAACACATAATTAGGCTACTATCTTTAAAATCTCTCAGTGCCCACACAATCACCCTCATCTCTAGAATGCATGTGTAGGGATTGTTCTTTGGGTGACCAGATGTCTTGAGCATGGAATCACTCTGTGCAGATTCTCTCTCTCTTTCTGACATTAACAAGTTCTGGAAATAAAACCACTCTCCTGGTTTGCTTGCTGGCATGGATTCAATAGCATTCTTTGCTAGAAAGAAAAACTTCCTGCAATGTATCTCCCTGATACTGCTGGTCAAAGAACATTTTCAATTAGGGAAATCTGGAAGAATTTTTCAGAAGAGACTTTTGTAGAGAGTCAGCCACTTGACAATACTGAAGGCCCCCAAGTATTGGAGACAAATTAAGTGTTAAACAAGTAATATAAAATTGACATTTCCAGGACTCTTGTAGTGTCCAATACTTTACCTATGTTGGTGGGAGCAGTATACTCATAAGCATACCGATAGAATTTTCTGGCTGCTGCTGGATTCATCTGGATTAGCGTAACACAGCGTTCACACCATACCTCCTCAGGTTGATTAACAGGCAAGAAAGAGTTGAATAGGAGATTTACCAAGCGGCGTGACACAGGACGTGAATCAACTTCAAGGCGAGAGAGAAGATGCTCCATGGGACAAATTTTCCAGTAACTTTTTTTTTTTTTAAGTGTGAAGGGGAGGCAGTTAAAGGGGCAACAGAAGAAGGGAAAGAGAAACAAGATATTACAATTTTTTTTGTTAAGAGTACTTTCTGCACCAAAACATTGACTCTGAACAAAACTAAAATGTATTGTTTAAAGTAAAATACTAAAATCCATAGCGCTATATTGCACCTGAATAATGCTATAGTACTGGTACTATATAGCATATCAAGTGTATTAGTCAAATTTCAACTCAGGCAATTACAAGCCGGTGTACCTGAAATTCTTTACGCAGTTCAGTTTGATAAGGAAGAATTTCTTACCTGCAGTAGTAATACTTTGAAAATATCACTGCAAAAACTATTATTCAGGATTCTTACTCATGTCTCACACTCCCAACTTCAGAGAGGATAGAATTCCCTACCTATGAAAATTTTAGGTTCTGAGGCAGCTGTAAGGGTGACTGTGCACAAGCTCCCTTCCAGATATACCCACCAAAGGTTAGCCCATGCCATCAGCTGCCACCACCTCAGTCCTGTTCAATTACTGCATTACAGACATGGAATGCAGAAAGTAAATTCTTAGTTATGGAATAGTAATGCTACTACTCTACGTCTGTCATTTTTGTGGCAAGGTCTTGAATTAATTAGGTCTATGCTTTTAGATATGGGATTTCAAAAAAGTTTTGCAACTGTTATTAGGCACTGAAAAATATTCTTCCTTCTGGCTCACTGATTACAGCAGTATTCCCCTTGTGGTTACAAAATACGGTGTTACTGCATGCAGCTCAATAGATCAGCCTCTTCTAATAATCACTTTACTAACAACAGCTTATTCAAACCATATTTTCCAACATCCAAGACTTAACAAAAGTACACATTTCCTATTTAAAAATGGTTATTAACCTTTCGTAACTGTTGTTCCTAGACGTGTGTTGCACATGTCCATTCCAGGCGTGCGTGCACCCTTTGCACAGTTGTTAGAAGTTTTTTCTTCAGTGGTATCCATCAGGGCAGCTTAAGCACTTTCTTCTGCCATGCACCAGTGCCAGTATGAAGGGCCCACCCACCCCTGAGCTCCCTCAGTTCCTTCTTGCTGGACCACCTTGAAGCAAAGGGCTAGGAGGGTGGGTCGTGGAATGGACATGTACAACACATCTCTAAGAACAACAGTTATGAAAGGTTTCAGAGGGATAGCCGTGTTAGTCTGTTTCAGCAAAAACAACGAGGAGTCTTGTGGCACCTTAAAGGCTAACAAATTTATTAGAGCATAAGCTTTCGTGAAAGGCTAGAAACAATTTTTTCTTTGAGTGATTGCACATGTATATTCCACTCGGTGACTCACAAGGCATAATGTACAATGAGTTCATGTACACATAGACTGGAGTACAATTTGTCCAAATTTAGCATCATTTCTGGAGTACAGAGTACTGGCATAATAGGATGCAAAGGTATGAACTGAAAACTAGACTGCCACTCTACAAATGTCCTGGATTCCGACTTGAGCAAGGAACACTGTAGAGACTGCCTGTCATATCATGGAACGTGCGGTCAGTCTGCCCCGCAGGGAAATGCCTGCCAGATCATAACAAACACGAAGGCAGAAAGTTATCCAAAACATAATTCTTTGTCAAGAGACAGGATGATCCTTCATTCTGTCTGCTAAGGCCACCAATAGCTGGGTTGACAAACAAAACGCTTTAGTCCTCCCTACATAGGATGCCAACACTCTGACATTTAAGGTGTGCAAACGTTGCTCCTCTATTGGCACGCAGTTTGGGGTAAAATGTAGGAAAGTAAATTGACTGGTTAATATGAAAATTAAATACCACTTTTGAAAGAAATCTTGGATGCGGGCACGAGTTCACCTTATCCTTAAAAGAGTATTGTATAAGGTGGTTCGGATGTCAGAGCACACAATTTGGCTACCTTCCTGTCTGAAGCAATAGCTACCAGGAAAGCCACCTTTACAGATAGGTACAGTAAGGAACATGTTGGTAGAGGCTCAAATGGTGGCCCCATGAGCTTTGACAAATCTAAAGTTCAAGTTCTGGTGGGGATAGGTTCCCTTATTTGAGGGTACAACTTTTCCAGTCCCTTCACAAATCTGATTGTTATATCATTAGAAAATATAGAACGGTTATCCACATAGGGATGGAAAACTGATATTGCTGCCAAAATCATTTGGTAGAAGATTTCTTTGATAGAAGAACCATTAACTACTGCTGTTTTAGATGCAATACATAGTCCAGAATATGCTGGACAGAGGACTGCATTGGCAAGACTCCAAACTGACAAGACCAGACAGAAAAAGGCCTCCATTTTGACATGTAAGCAGCTCTGGAAAAGGGCTTTCTAACTGTTTCTAACAGGACATGGTGAACTTGCTTCAAGCTAGACTCCCCCTAGGACTTGGCCTTGGAGCCTCCAGGCTGTTAAATGAAGGGCCACAGGTTTGGGTGGAGCAGCTGACCATTATCTTTGGAGATCAAGTCCAGATGCAACAGGAGCGAAATTGGAGTTGCAACTGACAGATCCAATACAATGGCAAACCAGTGCATCAAAGCTACTCTGGGGCTATTAACATAACTTGGACCTGGTCCTGTTTGTTCTTTAGCAGGACTCTGTGTAGGAATGGGATTGGGGGAAAAGCATAGTAGAGCTTGTTTGTCCAGGGTAGCAGGAAACCATCTGCAAAGGAACCAGGGCTGTGCCCTTGTAGGGAGCAATACAGTTGGCATTTCCTGTTGGCCTTGTTTGCAAATAGGTCTATCTGAAAAATTGGGAAACTGTCTGGTTGCATTTTGGCGGAGAAACCACTCATGACCATTTGTAAATAATCTGGTTAGGTGGTCCACCAGCTCATTCTGCATCCCTGGAAGGTAAGGAGCTTCGAGACTGATTGAATCGACAATGAAAAAGTTCCATAGGTGAATTGCCTCCTGACAAAGAAGGGACAGGCGGGTTCCCCCTGCCTGTTGAGGTAAAACATTGCCACAGCAGTGTCTGAGAGACCAAATAAGCTTTTGGCCTTGACATGTGGTAGGGAGGCCTGACAGGCGAGGCAGACAGCCCTTAGCTCTCTGACACTAATGTGAAGAGAGAGATTCGTTGAGGGCCACAAACTTTGAGTTCGGAGGGCATCCAGATAAGCTCCCCACACCAGGGCAGATACATCCATCACCAGTGTCAGTAAAGGCTCGGGGCAGACAAAGGGAACGCCCACGCAAACACTGAGTGGGTTTGTCCACCTATCTAGCAAAGTCAGTACCTGTGAAGGCATAGTGAGCAGAGTGTTCAGATAGTGCTAACTTGGTGAATAAACGGAGGCCAGACAACTTTGATGAGTCATGATATGTAGTCCAACATGCCAGGCTGCAAATGTGTATAAAGTCATATAGGAGTCTCAGACAGTTTTGAGCTGATGTGATTGGGTGAATGTTAAGGTCTGCCACAAGAGAATGAATTGTTTGAAATCTTGTGTCTGGAAGGAAAGCTCTGGCCTGAACAGAGTCCAGCAGTCCTCCTATAAAAACCCTATTCTCTGCACTGGACAAAGGAAAGACTGATCAACTTAGACAAACAGACCTAAAGCTCTGAAGGATGATAGGATGAGTTGAACGCAGGAGAGAACCTGAGCCCTGGACCAGCCCTTAACTAGCCAGTCATCCAGGTAAGGTGGACCTGTACTCCTAGTCTCCTCAGAAACACAACTACCAGACATATTTTGTGAAAACCCAAGACGCTGCTGACAGGCCAAAAGGCAGCACAATGAACTGATAATGAAAGTGATTCACTATGAACCTGAAAAACTTTGTGACCTTGATAAAATGCCACATGAAAGTAGTCCTCTCAAATTGAGGGCAGCATTCCCATTTCCAAGATACAGGTATAGAATAATAGAAGGCTGGAAGGCAAAGTGACCGTGTGAAACTATCTTTTTGAGGTATTTGTTGGTGCAGGTCTAAAGTTGGTCTGAGACCTCCCTTTGGTTTCAGGATTAGGAAATAACAGGAATAGACCCCTTTTCCTCGGTGACACTTAGGAACCTCTTCTATGGCTCCTACCTGAAGGAGAGACTGAACCTCCTGTTGTAGGAGCTCCTCCTGAGTGGCCCCTGAAGAGAGTGTTGGGTAGAAATAAATTGGAGGGTATATCCCACTTCCACAGTGCTTAATACCCATCAGTCTGAGCTAATCCAGGACCAAGCACTGGGGAAGTGGGAAAGGCAGTTTGCAAGTGTGGGGAAAATGGAAACTGGCATGGCGAGCTTGAGCATCCCATCAAAATGCCTATTTAGCACCCGCAGGTGTCTAGATGGACTAGACCGTGATGCAGAGGCAGAAGGAGAAAAAGGTCTATATCTACAACCCCTACTCATTTTTTCTCTGCAGATCCTGGCAAGAAGCAAGGGCAAAGTAATAGTGGGTCTGCTGTGGATGTAAGTGCTAACTGGATGGGACTGGAGTATACACCCACAAAAACTTTAGAGTTGCCATAAAGTCCAAATGGTGTCAGAATCCAGTGTCAAGTCAGAGAAGGACACTGAGCAGTCAATGTTGCAGGCTTCCCCTTTGATGGTACTGATGCAATGGAGGTTGACATGGTACCGAGCACTGCACCAGTACCGAGAGCACAGTCTCCTGCACTGTCAGAGAAACTGGCACTGAAAGGCTCAGCAGATCTCTTGCTACCACAAATAACTCCAGTGTGGTCACTACCGAGATGGTCTCAGAATGGCACGGTGCCACAGTTGTAGAAGGCGCTCCCTCAGGCTTCAGACGTGACTGCAACTGCCTTGATGCTGCAATCAATGATGCCAGCTTCTGTGGTGCCACAGAAGAGCAGTGCTTATGTTTTGGCTTCACTCTATTCTTACCCCCATGCCCGGCAACCTTCCCCTCTCAGTGGTCTGCTTAAGACGTCTTATGTCTCTTTCTAGGCAGATGGTGCACTGGGACTCAGGCAGCATAGAAGGTGCACTCCTAACAAAAGCTGAAGCACTCAGTG